TGAATTTAATCAACAAATTAAACCTACTTTAATGCCCTGTGTTATCTAAATACTGCGCCTCATTTGTATTCGAGAGCTGAACTTTCGTGATATTGATATTTTTTAGGACAAGACAGCTTTGTTACGAGCAGTATTGTTAACGAAGAAAAACTTTTGCATTGATAAAAAAGACAACGCTGATTAAAGTTGAATAAGGCTGTAAAAGATGAAGAGTGGCTTAAGCAGCCGCTTGAAGAAGTCCTTTCGTTTTGGTCGCTGACGATTAGTGATGTTTGGCCTTAGTCACCTTGTTTACCAAAATAATTTTATGTCGCATGAAATATGTACAAATAGTTGATTAAAAACAATAACAACATATATTTACCTAAATGATCCCAATACTTTTCAGTGATGTAATCCTTGCACAGCGCATTTTCAAACGAAAGGTAGAATTTGTAATGTTTGAGGCAGTCTTTTTCACCTGATTTTGAACATGATAGTCTCTGGCCAAATGCGCTGGAGCAGCTTCCGTATACATCTACGTTGATGTACTTTATCAGTTCGCGGACGAAGGCCATACGTAGTTGAGATCCACAGTTACTCACCAGCCATGCGACAAGTTTAGTTTTTCCTTGATTATAGTCGATCATAGTTTTCATTCTATCCGCCGCTTCCTCAGGAAAGAGGGGTACATACGCTGAATAGGCAGCTGAAAACTCGGAGTCACCTCGGTACGTCCAAGTAGCGTTGAACAATCCGTTCAACGGCGCTGGATCGGGAGTCACCAGTGGACCTTCCATAGTTTGATAAACCCAGCGCTGTTTAGCAGGCCTGTTCTTTGATAATGACTTCAGATGATCTACACTTGGCATGTTCCCGCCAGCCGCGTGAAATATTACTAAGTCGCTCTGCGAAAATCGCTGTTTGTCGTAGGTAATTTCAAATCTATCTAATGGGCATTGAGTTCTGCTTGTTTGATCAAGAATGCAGTCGCTTCGATACTCGCCAACCCATTTTACCTGTCCCCAGAACTTAGTGTAAACAAGAATAAGAAATTTTGGTTTCTCTAACAGGGTTGCAGTTGAATCAGGCAGACTTGAAGGTATCTGCGTTGATTGAAGTTTAGTTGAAGACGGAGGTCGGCTTGAATGTAGTTGAGTCGAATGAAGCACTGCCGAATACGCTTCAGTCTTTTGAGTATTAGGTTGAGTTATCGAATCAAGTTCTTCCACAGCGACTTCCAGGTTTGCACTTTGCCGCCACTGAATCTTAAACGTTCCAAACAGTATAAGAATTATCACTGAGTTACGGAGACACCTCTTCGGACTAAACCTCATATTCACACGCAACTATGTGTCTTGCATCCGGGCGAGATTGAATTATTTGATTTCTTGCTCCACTGGTCTCTTCTGGATGCAATATGCTAGTCACTAGCAAAACACAAGCTATCAACTGCCCCCTGGGGGTTGTTGCATTGTTGCGAATTTTCATGGCGCATGATAATCCCTAAAATGCAAATTTTAATTGTAAAGAGCAGGTCGTGAAAATATTGTTACGGCGGAAACCAGACAATTACTAGAAAATGTTTTGGATGTAATCATTTAAAAAGAGGATCAGTACCAGCTATTGAATTGTCGCGTTAAGTCTGCCTGTTATCTCTAGTGTTGGCAATTCAAAAGAGTCAGATAAAAGAAATAATACATTTGATGTGGGAGAATGATTTTCAGACTGATTTGAGTTTTCCAATTCTCACGTCTTTGAAAAAGAGTTTATTAGAGAAGTTTTCTTTCGATATCTTAGCCATCCATATTAGAAGCCATACTATTTCTTCAAAGCATGATAGCCTAAATTGAAGCTTAAAAAATTAACAAGTAAAAGAATGTTAGCTTATGTTGCTTTTCTGTTTAGTAAAATTGGCCCTTTACGTGAAGTGCGCTAATATTTGAATAACAATACCTCGACTTAAGATGATTAGTATAGACGTTGTATGCATCCTAAGGCTCTTTCCACACGAATCAGGAATGTGATCACCAACCAGGAACCAAAATCGATCACCAAAACCGCAGCTTTCTGAAATTTGTTCTTTCTTTTGTTTTGTTTTGTTTTGTTTTTTCTTTTTGTATCTGACGGTTTTGCGAATTCGTGTAGACGATTGAAACTGAATATTTTCGAAATCAATAAAGTATGCGGTTGAAGCCTGGCCGGATTCTTGGAACGGACCCTATACCTAGATTAAGGGCGCTTTTCAAAAGTCAGAACTAGCCGGCCAGGCCCTTCATATTGACAATAAATTTTAGTCTTTTTCTCGAAATTCTTAGTAAAACCCATCTGGTTGAATAGTTAAAAATTATTTCACGAGTGCGCGTTGGATATGAGACGCCGATTTGGCTATCTACCATCTCATATCCAACAAGCGCGAGTGGAATAATTGTTTTATTAAAAACGCCCACAAAATATCTAGAATTCTTCCGAATTCATTTGTAAAAACAACCGATGTTCAGCTTGTTTCTAATTTTGAGCAGAGCGTACAGTTACCATATTTGGATAGCATGGTATAATGGCTCATAAACCATAATGGCTAAGCCAATCAGGGCCCAGTTGCTCGAAGCATGGTTAGCGTTAACCAGCGTTTAATACCTTGACAACGTATTGGTTTTGATACTGCCTGACCAATGGTTATGTCGAGGTTTTGAAACTGTGAACAGTTTCCTTGTGAAAACTCTATAATTTTCTCCTTTCACCTCGTACTGTTTGAGCTGGCAAGTCGTGACAGTAGCAGATGATCTTTCCTAACTGTCTATTTACGATAATCTTTTTAACAGTTGTCGTTACGCCTGCGCGTCACATGTTGTAGATTTGCCACAAGAGTGTCAAGGGCCGCTCTTCTGATTTATCAGAAACAAACCGGAATTCCTCAATTCAGAAACACTCGGCAGAATGGGCTCGTTTTGGTAGTCAAGGTAACCATTAACCAATCATTAACGCTTGTCCACCCAAACGATCCCAGAAGACGTTGCGCCGAAAGCTTGTACCCATTCCCTTTATAACTGCTGGAGTGGGGAATAGTAACCATGTCCCCAGGGAATAGGCCACGTTCGACTCCGAGGCTTTCTGTTCATTTTTCAGGCGAATCTTTGTTAACACTTTTTGCCTCATTAACATATGCTTATCACTATCTGATGGCGCTAATAAAATAAAAACTCTGATTATATTGAAAGGGCGTAACAGTTTCAGTTATCTCTGAAAATTTGAGCCCAGTACACCGAATGGTTTCGGAGAAATTCTCTTCTCAAAACTCGAAATTTTACAGAGAATGTATGACTCATTAACTTTTTGGCCACACAGCAATTTCGCTGTTTTTGATGGCTGATATTTTCTTCAATATTGCTTGCAGAGATCTGAAAATTGCTCCAATTGCTCAACTTAATCAGCTCTTTCAGCTTTTGCATTTTGTTCGTACATACGGCTACGGCTTCTATGAGTTAAGTCGTATGCTAATGAGGAAAAATGTAAACAATGACGTCAGTAAAGATTGGCTTTTTTGGCTCGGTTTTCTTTGTGCTCAGGTCTCTTCTGGGATTTGCGAGACAATGGAGTTGTTAAAAATCTGCAATTTTCTCCCCAATGCCTCGAAGTCGTTTTAAATTTTTAATATATCGAACGTGGGCTCTTTTTTCCCCACGGTATGTCTTCTTACCGTCTATCGTGTAAAAGAGGCTGAAAGAAAGTGGCAACAGGTAGAGCCACGTGTCCCTCTCGGTGTGCTGTGATCTAATAAAGCTAATTAAAATTTTATCCAAGTTTTCCAAAACATTTATTAAGAGGGGGGCATGGGGAATTACGGTATTAACCTTTTTTTTCAAGCGGTATTTCGGTAATTTTGATTTTAATGTGCGGTATTGCCGTATCATCTAGCCCTGCGGTATGCGGTTTTTTATCCCTCTGGTTAACGGTATTCGGTAAAAGAAGATCCTTCACTTAACGGTAAACGGATTACACAATTTGTAATAGTTAATTATTGCATCCGATGACTGGGCTTTTCGATCGTTGCACCGATAAATTCGAGTTCTTCTCACGTTTTCTCACAATATGCTGAGGTTGATTTCTGGTCATACATGCTTTACATAACAAGCACAAGGGATGGATACAACTTCAATTAAGCGTGACCGATCATAAATGCGGTATCGATATTTCGTCTATTTTCGACACGGTATTTCGGTATTTGCCAATTTTTCTTACCATTTTTCTTTGAATAAAGAAACTTTTTAAAGTAAGTTTTAGTATCTCCTTCTAACTACTTCCCATTAACCAAAAGGTAGTATCTAGATGCCTCTTAATCAGATGGCATAGTGAAGGTCTGTTAGGACCTTTAGAAGTGTGGTTACTACTAAAACGAAGCAGCTATAAAGTGCATGCAAATTAAGCGAAAACACAGATGAAACACGCCGTATAATGTTTTCGCGTTAGCACGATTACTTTGAGTTTCGAGAATAAGTGCATTATACGAAACGAAAGCCTTGCATGGTGACTTATCAAACAACATTTATTTTAATTCATACTGATTGCCCAAAAAAAACAGAAATTTCGTTTTCTCGTCGCAATAAATGACGAATTTTATTCAGAACAAAGTATTTGCGTTCCATGACTCGATAGCACCCCGGCTACTGGTTACTCAGACTAATGAATTTAATCAACAAATTAAACCTACTTTAATGCCCTGTGTTATCTAAATACTGCGCCTCATTTGTATTCGAGAGCTGAACTTTCGTGATATTGATATTTTTTAGGACAAGACAGCTTTGTTACGAGCTATTGTTAACGAAGAAAAACTTTTGCATTGATAAAAAAAGACAACGCTCATTAAAGTTGAATAAGGCTGTAAAAGATGAAGAGTGGCTTCAGCATCCGCTTGAAGAAGTCCTTTCGTTTTTGTCGCTAACAATTAGTGATGTTTGGCCTTAGTCACCTTGTTTATCAAAATAATTTTATGTCGGATGAAATATAGTTGATTTAAAAAACAACAACAAATATTTACCTAAATGATCCCAGTACTTTTCAGTGATGTAATCCTTGCACAGCGCATTTTCAAACGAAAGGTAGAATTTGTAATGTTTGAGGCAGTCTTTTTCACCTGCTTTTGAACATGATAGTCTCTGGCCAAATGCGCTGGAGCAGCTTCCGTATACATCTACGTTGATGTACTTCCTCAGTTCGCGGACGAAGGCCATACGTAGTTGAGATCCACAGTTACTCACCAGCCATGCAACAAGTTTAGTTTTTCCTTGACTATAGTCGATCATAGTTTTCATTCTATCCGCCGCTTCCTCAGGAAAGAGGGGTACATAAGCTGAATAGGCAGCTGAAAACTCGGAGTCACCTCGGTACGTCCAAGTTGCGTTGAACAATCCGTTTAACGGCGCTGGATCGGGAGTCACCAGTGGACCTTCCATAGTTTGATAAACCCAGCGCTGTTTAGCAGGCCTGTTCTTTGATAATGACTTCAGATGATCTACACTTGGCATGTTCCCGCCAGCCGCGTGAAATATTACTAAGTCGCTCTGCGAAAATCGCTGTTTGTCATAGGTAATTTCAAATCTATCTAATGGGCATTGAGTTCTGCTTGTTTGATCAAGAATGCAGTCGCTTCGATACTCGCCAACCCATTTTACCTGTCCCCAGAACTTAGTGTAAACAAGAATAAGAAATTTTGGTTTCTCTAACAGGGTTGCAGTTGAATCAGGCAGACTTGAAGGTATCTGCGTTGATTGAAGTTTAGTTGAAGACGGAGGTCGGCTTGAATGTAGTTGAGTCGAATGAAGCACTGCCGAATACGCTTCAGTCTTTTGAGTATTAGGTTGAGTTATCGAATCAAGTTCTTCCACAGCGACTTCCAGGTTTGCACTTTGCCGCCACTGAATCTTAAACGTTCCAAACAGTATAAGAATTATCACTGAGTTACGGAGACACCTCTTCGGACTAAACCTCATATTCACACGCAACTATGTGTCTTGCATCCGGGCGAGATTGAATTATTTGATTTCTTGCTCCACTGGTCTCTTCTGGATGCAATATGCTAGTCACTAGCAAAACACAAGCTATCAACTGCCCCCTGGGGGTTGTTGCATTGTTGCGAATTTTCATGGCGCATGATAATCCCTAAAATGCAAATTTTAATTGTAAAGAGCAGGTCGTGAAAATATTGTTACGGCGGAAACCAGACAATTACTAGAAAATGTTTTGGATGTAATCATTTAAAAAGAGGATCAGTACCAGCTATTGAATTGTCGCGTTAAGTCTGCCTGTTATCTCTAGTGTTGGCAATTCAAAAGAGTCAGATAAAAGAAATAATACATTTGATGTGGGAGAATGATTTTCAGACTGATTTGAGTTTTCCAATTCTCACGTCTTTGAAAAAGAGTTTATTAGAGAAGTTTTCTTTCGATATCTTAGCCATCCATATTAGAAGCCATACTATTTCTTCAAAGCATGATAGCCTAAATTGAAGCTTAAAAAATTAACAAGTAAAAGAATGTTAGCTTATGTTGCTTTTCTGTTTAGTAAAATTGGCCCTTTACGTGAAGTGCGCTAATATTTGAATAACAATACCTCGACTTAAGATGATTAGTATAGACGTTGTATGCATCCTAAGGCTCTTTCCACACGAATCAGGAATGTGATCACCAACCAGGAACCAAAATCGATCACCAAAACCGCAGCTTTCTGAAATTTGTTCTTTCTTTTGTTTTGTTTTGTTTTGTTTTTTCTTTTTGTATCTGACGGTTTTGCGAATTCGTGTAGACGATTGAAACTGAATATTTTCGAAATCAATAAAGTATGCGGTTGAAGCCTGGCCGGATTCTTGGAACGGACCCTATACCTAGATTAAGGGCGCTTTTCAAAAGTCAGAACTAGCCGGCCAGGCCCTTCATATTGACAATAAATTTTAGTCTTTTTCTCGAAATTCTTAGTAAAACCCATCTGGTTGAATAGTTAAAAATTATTTCACGAGTGCGCGTTGGATATGAGACGCCGATTTGGCTATCTACCATCTCATATCCAACAAGCGCGAGTGGAATAATTGTTTTATTAAAAACGCCCACAAAATATCTAGAATTCTTCCGAATTCATTTGTAAAAACAACCGATGTTCAGCTTGTTTCTAATTTTGAGCAGAGCGTACAGTTACCATATTTGGATAGCATGGTATAATGGCTCATAAACCATAATGGCTAAGCCAATCAGGGCCCAGTTGCTCGAAGCATGGTTAGCGTTAACCAGCGTTTAATACCTTGACAACGTATTGGTTTTGATACTGCCTGACCAATGGTTAAAGCTAACCATGCTTTGAGCAACTCAGCCCAGAGCTCTAGAATTGCATTATCCACTGATTCAGTTCTTAGTAATCCTGATTAATAATGGAATTCTCCTGACGACTGAACTGGTCTGGCTAGCCCGTTCTGACAAATGGAACCCCCAGAGTTCCTCTTCTACCTCTGAGGAAAATAATGGACAATTCATAAACTAGCTTATGTCTCTATAATTCTACTAAATCATTTAACCCAAGCCTTAGGATGTATGTAAGTATTGAATAATTCAAAATCGGTGCCATTTATGGCAAATGGTCTATATTCAGAGCAGAAATTTGTCATTCCATAGATTAATGGAAATTATCTGAGTGAGTATACATACATATATAGTATATTTGATCCTGGCATAAAAATTGCTCTTGTATTTATTTTTGAATTCGACTTAAAAATTTAAATTAAATTTTTTAATTAGACATTTCCTTCTTGGCGTCGGGTTTCCAATGATCATCAGGAAATTTAAGTAGTTTCTGGTTTTGGTGTTTCTTGTTGAGTCCTTGTTTTTTTTTACTTTTGTTGTTGTGGTCAATGTACACTTTTTTAAAATTAAATTTCATGTTGGACTAACTGGGCTACCTGCAAGACTAATGTTTATCAACCTCTGATGTCTTTCTTTCAGATGGTTTTGAGATAATGTGATAGCTCATTCGGTTAAACAGGGGCGTAGCTACCTGTACGCACGGTACGCACGTGCGTATCTGAAAAAGTCGTGCACCAGAAAGCTATAAATGAATAAATGGTTAAAAAGAAAAAGTTAATTTTAAAAAGAAAGCAAAACATCTAAAGATAATTCTCTTTAGAGTACTGTTTGCGTCAATTTATTCAACTCTGGTTGTTTCTTTGAAATATATTTTTTTTCTAAGACAACGGACTTTTTTTCTTCTCCACCCAAATGTCGGGAGAAACGAAGTAATTCATTAATGGACCGAATCTTGAGTAACATACATTTATATATCTAGAGAAAAGATGGTAGGCGTTTTAAATAAAAACGTGCTCGGATTCGTTACCGTTTAGTCACATCGACGGTAGCAACGACGAAGTCGACGGTAACGGCGACGGCACTGAGAACATCAAACGAAATGAGTTCAATAAGTAAGTGAAAACAACACATTTTACAACCTGTACGAATTCGCAAGGCATCGGAGTCACGTTAGATTTCGGATTCAAAATCTATAGAGACTTGACCAAATCGGCACCTTTTCTATTCGGATTCACGCGCTGCATCTGCTTAAAAATGACAATAGGAACCCAGTGACAAAATTATCCGGATTCCTGACGAATTAGGAGAATTGTGCGCAACTCTGAAAAAATCCTCGCTACGGCCCTGTTAAAGATCCTTTATAATGTCAAACAAGGCAGCTGCGAGCCAAAAATGAAAAAAGCATATTGTTTGTTCTTTCGGCGAGTGACAAAATATCTGATCCTAGTCAGACGTGTGTCCTGATGAGCTCTTTAAAATTGTAAGCACTTGAACACTGTAAACACCACTTCGATTTACATTTACCAATTATCCTGAAGATAACGAGCCGCACCGTCTTAGCAACCAAAAAAATTTTGTTTATCAAGCTGAGATAGGGGACTAAAAGTCCCCTATCTCAGCTGGATACTCAGAAGGTTGTAACATTCACTATTCCATTTATCTCTGATCATATTTCGCATCTAATACGATAGAGGCGTCAATTTTCGCGCCATCATGTCATCATTCTAAGGCGAGAAATTAAATTAAAAGCTTGGCATTCAACAAATGTACGGCTCAGGTTTCGGCTAAAATTATTCAGTGCTGTCAAAGAAAAAAACAAATTATTAAGGTCTGCGTATAAAGTCGATCACATTGCTAATTAACACAGACAAAAACACTTAAATATCTCCTACGAAATGAACGGCTGAGTTTGTTTTTTCTACGGGTCAAACTGCTACTATCAGTACTATATATCCCAGAAGCGCTCAGGCATAATAATATGCCAGGACTTCTACCTGGATGAACCAGAAA